GTTTATTTATTATTATTTTCTATATAGTTCATATTTATATATTATATAGATTTTCAATAATTTTTAAAGGAAAAAGCACTGCCATCAGCAGTTTTTTAGCTCATGGAAGGTCACAGCAGGGTTCAATGTACAAGTAGATCTCACAGGATTTCTTGTTGCTAAATGATCCTGATACCTTTATGTTCACATCCCTTATAATTTAGGTCTCGGCTATTTCCTTACCTTGTATTTTGTTCCACTGCTCTTTTTATCGATGCCAGAGGCAGAAAGCCACCCGAGCCAGGACTACGTGGACTCCCTGCAGCGGCTGAAGGACACGCTGAGCGAGCTGGAGTACAAGCAGCAGTCCATCGCCAGCGGCCTGAGTGACCCCAGCAAGGTTGAGAAAGCCCTGCAGCAGGCAAAGGTAACCCCCACCTTCGCGCTGAAGGTTTAGTAGTATTCAGCTACTGTCACCCTCCTTTCTCCTGCCTCATTTTCAGGGGGGTAACTAAAATGTGACTCGGAGGGAAGTCTGTCAGGGAGCGGTGTGTGGAAGTGGCCCCGGGGGGTTGCTGCTGAAAGCTGGGTCCCCACAGGCTGCTGAGGGACAGGTACAGGCGAGGGGTTGACTCTGAGCCTGCAGACTTCACAGCTTCTCTTGCTGCCTGTGCCAGGAGAGCTGAGAGTGCTTGGCCAGGGGAAGAGGAGGCTCAGGATCCTATCTGAAGTGCTGCAGCACCTCAGACCACCTTAGCGAACACCCCGGGCTCTCTCCAGAGTGCCCATGTCTTGCTTGTGCTGTGGAGGCCCCAGATGGATGTAACGGTGCCCGGGAGCATCCCCCTATTAGGAGCTTGGTTGGATCAGCTTCTAGACCCAATCCAAGGTCTGCCCCTTAACCACTGAGTGCAGCTGTGAGGAAAGCCAGGAGCCAGGGCCTTCCCTTTCCTCCCCTGGGAGCTGCCCCTTAGCTCTTCCTGCCTGAGCTGCGCTGTGGCTGCCTGGGGGCCATGCCCATGCCCAGCCTGCTCAGGCTCATTGTCCTGGGGAGGCCGTGTCTCCCCCACAGCAGCGTGGGCTCCCTGACCCTGCCTCTGCTCTCCCACTGAGGCTGTGGAGCACAGGCTTGTCTCCCCTTCAAGCACTGGGTATAGCCTACGCTGAGGTGGGGTGCCTGACTGCTTAAACTGTCTCTGAGGTTCATCTGGCTAGTAGATCCATCCTGTTTCATCCTGCGTGGCTGTTAGGAAAGAGTAACTGTAGGCCTGTGGCCTCCAGGCTGCCTTGCAAAGGGGGACAGTGCTTGCAAGCCATAAAGGTAATTGATGCACTAATTCTTTCCAGTAGAGACAATATTTTGTTTTCTCTTATGAGCCTATAAAGGCTATATAAAGAAAATATGTGAGTGATAGTTGCTTTTTAAATATCGGTTACTGGGGCAGGGCTGGAGTGAGGTGAGAGTATAATGCATCTCCAGTACTTTTTAAAAAAAAAAAAAGCCAAAACCATAGGCAAATACTTCCTGACCTCTCCACTGTCCCCCACTGCTCTTGTGGAATCATGCTTAATTCAGAAACATGTATTTTTTTTCTCTGTGTGGTGATGTAAAAGTGCTGCAGGTGACTCTGGAGAAGCTCTGGAACTCCAGTTGCTGGGTGGGGAGAGGCTGTGTCTGTCTGTCTTCCTATCTTTATTTGGCAGAGGGTGATCAGATGAGTATTTTTAAAAGCCCAGTAAACAGGGGCTTTAGTGCTTTTTTTTTTAACAAGCTGATTTAAAAAGTTTAAGTTACTTGATTTTCCTTTTTAAAGTTGTCAGATTTTCTGATCAATATATTGGCTAAATTGCAATGGCATTTAGTCTTTGGAGGCTTGCCTTTTCCTACTTCTGCCGAAATCTATCCTTCCACTTTTCTTCAGAGGCTTAATTAACCTGAAAGAACGTAGCATGCCAGTGTGGGAACTTCAAAAACTGTGCTAGGAGATGGGAATAAAATGTATGATGAGCTGCTTGTGGGCCTGGGATTGTCTAACTCCTTTTTTTTGCACTGCAGCAGGTGCTGATAAGTGCTTGAGGCATAGACCCAAGCCAGGCATCCTGCTCTTGTTTGGAGAAACATACATCCCTCTTCCCACTCTCCTTGCTGCCTCAGTACCTATGGTACACTTTATCCTGTTTCTTTCCTGTAAATACAAAGTAAAATTAAGAATGTAAATGTATGGAACATTCTTCCTCAGTAAAATACAGTAAAATATGTGCACACATCCTGCATGTACATATTAAATATATATACTAACAAAGTTAAATTCATTAAATTAGTAATGGTTTAATGTATTTATTCCAAATTTGCATCTCAAACGAATTTTAAGCAGGGTAACCAAAATGATCAGTTAAATGAATTGTCAGTGTTTTTCATGTCTTGGCTTATACCTTCAGCTGTTTTTTTCTTGTAATATTAGGAAACTAGCTATTTCAGCTCAAATAACTCATTCTGTCAGCAATGCCATAGTGAATATAACCAGATTGTATTCTCCTTTTATTCCAGCTGGAAGAGTAGCTTTCAAAACTCAAATATCCAGAGCTTTCATTGCAGCTAGATGTTATAATGGTTTTACTTTACAAACCTCTGAAGGACACAATCAGGCTATTTGTGTGGGCTTTATTTGTTTTCTTTTTTTAAAAAAATATGTTATCTGTGAAGGGAATGAAAAAACCGAGGTCCTAGTATGTCTACATTGCTGTTTCTTTAGTGACTGCAGTGTAGCTGTTGCTTTGCGAACTCGAGTGTCAGCGCTGCACGGCACAGGAGGGGCGTAGGTGCCTGGGTGTGTTTAGCTATGTGTCCAATCTTTACAGCCCATTCTGTAATCTCTGCTCCTGCACCAGCAGAACACCTGAATGCTTTGGTGCTTGGAGGTTGTTTGGACATCTCTGTTGCAATAACTGCGGTAACTGGAGTATCATTTTTCACTGAATCTGCACAACAGAACCTTTGATGTACTTGCACTTGTATGTAAGCGTGTACCTGGAAGCAGACCTTTTTTTTTATTGTAGGCCATTTGTGAGACACTGGAAGCCCAGAAGCCCAGGGTGGATAAACTTGCTGAAGAAACAAAGGCTTTGGAGAAACATGCTGCTCCGGATATAAAAAAGGTTTACACGCAGGAGTTCAAGCATGTGCAGGGACACTGGGAGAAGTTGAAGCTCAAGATTTCCAAAGATGTCAAACTACTGGAGGAAATTACATCCAAGTTGAGAATATTTGGGGTAAAATTAAAGATTTTTTTGTTGCATAACTTAGTTGTTTTAGATCCCTTTCTTTCTCTATATTCCTGCCGGAGTCCAGATGATACTGATTGAGATGCGAAATGTTGATGAGCCACCAGTCTGGCAGAGGCTGGAAACATGTATGGTGTATTTATAGCAGGGTAACAGGGACTTCTAATGTGCCCAGGATATTATTCTTCTATTAGAATGACTTTTCTTTTAGAATTAGCATTCCTCCTCTTGAAATACCAGAAGGGAAGGTTATGTGAAAGCCAAGGGTACGTCAGCTGTGGTGTTGAAGGCTTGATCCCACCAGGGGCTGAGTGCCCTCTCTTGTGGGTCGGTGTCAGGTGCCCAGTGCCTTACTAGTTTGGTATCTAAAATTGAAGTTCTGTACCTGCCACAAAAAAACCTGCTTCTTCAAGTGGAGTTTCTGTTAACAGTAATGAAGAATTAGTACAGCCTGTTAAAAGAGGAGGTAAAAAAAAAAGCTTGGGTGTAGTGAGTTTTCCAGTTCCAACAGATGGTCTCTGAAGTGTCAGGAGGGAGAGTTAAAGAATTAAGATTAATCAGCACTCTTATATAACTTTTTTTTAATATGTATACACACACATCTCAAATTCTGCATGACAGAAAATCCCAATGCTTTAAAAATGAAGAGATTAAAAGCAAGGGTATTTGAAGGGTATTTAGATGTTTAACACATAGATGAAGTGAGGAGAAATAAGTGCTTAAGTAACTTAGCCGAGGTTGACTCAGTATCTATTGATTAGCTGAGTTTCTTTGTGTTTTGCTTCCCTAGACTATTTATATTCCTTTGGGCAGAAGAAAAAAATAATGAAAACAAAATATATAATGATTTAGCCTGTGGCAATATTATTGTCACCCGAAAGTTAGTTACTAACCGTTCTTCAGTATTAGCTTGAATATGGTGCCATTTTTTTTTCTGGAGTAATGTCTAACTAGACTTTAAGTTTCTTATTTTAATTTTCATATTATATCAGAAACTTCAAAAAGCAAGAAGGTCTGTCTCTTGGGATGAAAGCACATGTGCATTAGCTAGCAGAAATCTGTATTTTCACATGAATTAAACACACTTTAATATGTGGAATTATTTACATTATTTTCCATTTAACAGAGTATGTCTCACACACTTTATGAACGTAAGCAACTTGCTGCATGTGCCTTCTTCAGAACATTGGTGCCATGCATGCACACCACCACCTTTCCTCAAAAGTTTCTCTCAATCTGGCTCTCCCCTGCCTCTGAAGGAGAAAACTGTTCTTTTATTTGATAGTGGATTCAAACTTCAAACGAAGTGGTTTTTGTGGTGTGTGTGTGTTTTATTTTAAGCCAGACGGGATCTCTAATGACTACTTCAGTATAGACATGTGTTTAAACTGAAATTTTTATTAGCAAGACCAGGTAATTGACTTGCATGATGTTGCAGTGAAATTTGGACAAGCTGTTGTTGATTATGGTTCAGAAGTAGTAAAAGCCTCAAGTGCATGTGTGTATAAATATATATATATTTTTTTAAACCACAAACCTGGAAGAAGTCATAGTAGGGGTAACAGAATGTAACTAAATGACATTTAGGAGCAGAGTGCACATCCATGCTTTCATGAAGTTTTACTCGGGGGAAGAAGGCTGGAGGGAAAAACTTGCTTCTGCTCGTAAAGTGTCGTTCACTAATTACTTGTTTCAGGACTTGAGCTGCTCCTAGCGGTGTGTATGTGGGATGTGAGTGTATGAATAGCACAGGCATGTCTAGATTAGTGAACTTGTAAATGGAAGCCACAAACCAGCATATGAATAGAAGGAAAAATTACAGGTTTTCAGAGGAAAAATATGTATTTCTTTTATATAACACTTCTGTGTAATATCGTTAGGCTGTGTTACCTGGAGCATAAAGAGGAAAGCTGTCCCTGCCCTTCCTCCCCCAACCCAAAAACAACGACAGCAAAAAACAAGCCATATTCAGGAATACGTGTAATTGTGTACCTACGTTTGAAAGAGTTCATGCTTTTAGTCTTGTTCCTTCAAAGCCATCCTTCCGTAGCCATTTGCAGCAGCCTGTGGAACTGTGGAGGAGCTGATACTGCTGGTCAGTGGGAACTGACTGCACAAATTGGGCTGACTTGTACAGGAGCCTAAAACAAATTAACTTCTAAGGCTTAGCTATGCCCTTGGTTGTTATTTTCCAACAACCATCTCCTGATTAATTTTTCTCCTGACTTGGACCTAAATGTACAATATCGCACCATGTCTCATTTTCTTCTCTTCCCTCTTTTTTTGGTTACGTTTCTTATTTAGCATGACAGAATAAATATTCTGCATATAAGCCTGCCTCAGCACCCTTTGTGCAAGAACTTTTTATCGGGCTTGTTCTTCAAAAGATTGCAGCTTTCCAGTTGTCTGATTATCTGTAGCTACATGATAGCTAGACCTACTTACTTCATCAGTTTCAGCAGCATTATTTTTTCTCCCTTAATTTCTTGTAATTGAAGAATGCATCTTTTTCTGCATGTGAGTCATGTGTAGGTGAGTGGTTTGTACATGTGCCTACTTTCCTAAATCGTGGCTTTAACTGAGTGAAGAATGGCTCCTGAAAGCTGAAATTCTCTCATGTTTAATTGAGAGTAGGATACATGTGTGCAGTATTAGCAGGGCAGGTTTCTATTTAGAAATCAATTATTCAGTTTTTCAGACAAAGGTGAAGTGCCCTTTTCTCCCCAGCTGTCCAGAGTGATGTTGGTACCACTATGTATATGGTGTACTCACTGATGTGGATTTTTATGCCCATGGGAGTTTTGAAGAGCTATGGAGAGCAAAGTGTTGAAGCTGTGCACTGTTGTATACATCTGAGAACAGAATTTTGTCCAGAGTGAGATGTTAAAAACGTTCCTATTAACTTAAAAAGAAGTACAGAAGCTGAAAAGGAAATTAAGGCAGAAGAAATAGAAGTAATTATTAAATAACTGAAAATGGAAGAAATACGTAGTCTGTAGAAATATGGAGCTGACATTTGGGGGTGTTTTCTGCTGAGCTGAATTTCTAACTACACAGTTCCTGTGTTTTCTAAATGTTTCATAAAGCTGTCAGTGGACAGAATTTGTTCTCTGATTTTTTTCCTTTTGAAGGAGTGGTACTAATATATACAGAAATTTTTGTAGTCTAGCAGTGTATGAATAAAAATGAGAATGTGGAGCAAGTTGAATAAAGATGCTGTGGATGGTACTGGAGAGATTGGGATGGAACTTGCACTGCAAGGAAAGTTTATATGGGAGACTGGGTATATGGTCTTGGTGTACACACTGAATGGGTCAGATGTGATACCAGAGACACAAGAGTATTTTGGAGAATGGTTGGGCAGTATCTCCTTGGTTAAGAGATTAAGTGAAGCATCTGGGTATTAAAGGGGAAAAAATTAAAAGTGGGGGAGAAAAGAAGAAAGTGAATGGCAACCCTTGGAAAACGTGGTCATGTGCAACTACCCGCAAGTGTTGGTTTATTTTTAATGTTTCTTTTTTTCCCTAATTCACCTTTAAAACCTGGCATTTTCCAAAACAGCACTCCTCACGTTTAGGTTTTGAAAATAAATTGACTATAAATGTTCTCAATTTAACAGTGAGCAGACAGATGAACAGCGCTTAAAGCTTAAAATGTCCTTGTTAGCCTGATAAGCAGGTCAGTGGCAGATCTGTCTGTGGGTCCTGCTGCTCAGATGTCCTTTCTGTGATTTGTGATGTGACAGAGGCTCCCCCAAGCTGACAACACATGCATTAGTGACATGATCTGTTTTACTGTGAAACTGACAGCAATAATCATGTGAGGAGAGAAGTAGACAAGCCTTATTTTATCTGTTTCGCGTCTTGTATTTTCTAGAAGAAAACTTCTTTATCTTGTATATCTGTTGTCAAACCTCTAATAGTGTGCGGCTTGCTGTGTCTTGAATTATGTATCACCTTCAGTTCTTTTAAATCTACTGCATGGCTGTACGTCATGTGGTTTTTCTAGGAGTAAAGTTAAAATTCAGAACGTTTGATCTTTGTTCCTGCCTGGAATAAATTTTAGAAATTGATCCAATGTTTTAGTTCATGTCTACAAATTGTGAGCTCTTGTACATCAGCAACCTACACTGGGTATTTGGCCATTGATAATTATTTACCTGTGCTCCGCAGGAGCATTGACTTCATTAAACTTCTGTAGACTTGGCTTGCGATTCGGCAAGTTATTTAAATGTGTGACTAACTTTAAGTAATCCCGTTTAATTGACTTCAGCTACTTATGTAAGTAGCTTACTGTCAGCAAGTTAAATTAGGTATATACTAAAATGCCTTGTCAAATGGCAGCCCTTATAAATATGTATTTTTTTTCTTACATTAAGCCATGGTTCACTGTTAAGCCTCTCGGGGTCTGGTGTTTTTTTTTTTTTTAAATTATTTTCAAGCTAATCAGCTGCAGGAAATTCCCCCAAAATGGAAAAGGAATGAAGAAAATGTCATGACTTTGACCTCTAATGGTAGCATTGGCCTAAAAATAAACATGATCTTAGTCTAATGGGTTTTCATTAGTGCAGACATTTTTTGAGAAGCAATGTGTAGCAGTTCTTTCAAGATCAATATGTTATTACAAGGTTTTTAAGGAAACCAAGTGTGTGCTTTCATCCTCCGTGACATGCAGAGTAGAAGGTGAAGCTGATGAGCTTTGACTCTGCCTCTCAATAACAGTGCACTATGATTACAGTTGTGTCAGAATAAAGAGATGCCATCTATTAAAAAAGCCAACCGAACAGTCCAAAAGTATTGATTAAAAAAGTCCAACTATATTATTAAAAAATAAGCACATACCTCAATTGAACCAGGACAAGGAAAAGCTTTTTCCCTGCTCTAAGTTTGTGGTGGTTTTGTTTGAAAAGGTGATTGGGAACATCCACAGTTGTATGGGAAGGGGATGACAACCCTCCTGTCTTCCTCCCCACCTACTTCATTGCAGAATATAAGGCAACTGCCAAATGTTGGGTCAGATAACTCTGCAATTGTGTATGTATTTCCTCTTTTCCCTGTGCATTGCTCTAGTGAGTAGCTGCTATTGGCCTCAAACAGTGAGGGTTTTTTTTTTTTCAGTAGTTAGTCTAATCCTGTGTGGTATTTTACTTTTATGACTGTGTTTCACTGTAAGGAGAATGGCTTTCCCAGCACAGCTTCTACCTGTCAAGTATGTTTAGCATTACCCTCTCCTTTTCTCCCCGCAGATATTTTAAAAATTTCCCTTGGAGTGCAATATGTCTCATGAATGAGTGTGGTGGAAGCAGTTGTATGTGGTTTCTGTTGTCAGGAAAATGCTATTCAGCCAGGTCCTTCATGTGAAGGGTAACCAGATAGTTCTTGAAGCCATGCTTACCTCCTTACTTGATCCCATGTTTCTGTGTGATAGATAACCTGGAGCAGTGCAGTGTCAATTAAACCACACTGTGGCATGGATGGGAAAATAACAGTACTGTGAATTTAATTTTCATATAAATTTGAGAATAGAGAAATTTATGGGGAAAAAAACCCCAACAAACTAAACCACCAAAACAAAAAATTAAACTGAAGGTGATCTGATTTAAAACCAAAGGCAATGCTAGCAGCTTGTAGAATTTTCTTTTGACACTGCTAGAACCCTACGTTCTTTGTCATGGCATTGTATCAACTCTTCATTACTATATTTGATTTAGGCTGATTCAAAAATTGTTCAGAAGTGGATGGATGGTGTGAAAGACTTCTTAATGACAGAAAAGGCTGTTCAAGGAGATACGGAAGGACTTCAAAGACAACTTGACCAGTGCACAGTGAGTTGTGCTCTTCTAAGGAATCTTTTGAAATAAATAACTAGCATCTCTTCTTTATTATTTTGCTTGTATTAAGTCTTGTCCGTGGCATATTCCATGAAGCCTGCCAGAAAAATTGTCTTATCTTTCTTTAGGGCACATTTTAATTGGTTTCTTTTGTGTAGCCATAGCACTTCGTGCCTTTGAAAGGTCTTCATCATATTTACAAATACTCATCTACAAGTTGACATTATTTTCTCTGAAAATGTTTATATCATTTTCCAAATTTTGTGATTAGGGAATTGAATCTGTGAGTGCAAAGTGCTTTCTGCATTAAACTCCCAAGGGCAATAAAAATAACAAGGAAATAACTTTGATGAAATTCCTGGGGTTTAGGAATTGCATGTGCCTCACTTGTAAGATTCCTTCCTAGCTAGTGGCACATAATGATCATAATTATGTGATATAATGTAATATCTTATTAGATCAATATATCTATATCAATAAGTTAATCTTATAGCAATTATAGCGTACCTTCAAATGTTTGGTTTTGGGAGAAGAATACGAGTCTGAGGTATGCCAGAAACATCAGGGTATTTAGTGCATACAGTCTTCAAACTTGTGTTGTTTTGGTGTGAACTTTCGCATGTGAGAATGTTTGCGTTGTGTATGGCAAGCTGTATTTTGTTTTTCAGCTGCATGGTTCTGATGTTTTGGGCCACTGAAGGATTGTTTTTAACAGTCTTGTATTGAACACAGCATCAGTCTGCTTTTTAATTAAAACTACTGTGGAATTATTAAAAATTACAAAGTTATTGGTGTTGTATAAACTTAAGTAATGTCTTGTTAAAGAAGAACATTCGTTTTCTCTGTGTGCTCAGATGTTGGTCAATGAAATGGAGACAATTGAACCATCGCTGAAAGAGATGAAAGAAATAGAGTCTGCTTTAAGAGCTCAGCCTATTATGAGCATAAATGCTTGGGCAAAGTCTAGGCTAGTAGACTGCCAGACTCAATGGGAGAAACTGAGCAAACAGGTGAGTTCTGCACACATTGCTAGTTCTTGCTTGTTATCGCAGCTGTCTGTTCAGTTGTGTGGCATTGGTAGGCTGGTGAAGCAGTGAAATAGTGGGATGAGTATGTTTTACTTGTTCCACTGTCAAAGCGGTTGAAATCCAACTTGGCCCAGTGAATCCTTTAGCGGTGCAAATATGTTAGGATATACCAGTGCAACAGTAGTTCTGTTTCAATATGTGCACTTGGTACCTAACTGGAAGAAGCACAGTGAACTTTTTAATTGTTTGTCAGTAAAAATTAATTTGTTCACTTTGCCTCATGCTGCTCTTTCTGGAGTGTGTGGGAGGGAAGTCTGACCTTTTTGTTCTGTTGTTCCTGAAATCTGAAATATTATTCTGGCCTCATATAATCTCTGCCTGCTTCCAAGCAGCTTTAAAAAAAAAGCTATAAATAGACTACTGCTTCAGTCTGGTGTATTTGGTTGTTTCTTTTGGGTGGAAGCTTTTTGCTATGTGTAGACACGTACTTCTTTAGTTGCAAGGCCTGATGAGGATCTGTGTTGGAGAACCTTGCTGTTGATATAGAATCCAGATTGCCTGTGCTGTGGAAGCGAGGCCTGAAGGCTGTTTTAGTGCTCTGTATAAAGATCTCTAACTATATGATACTTGTGATGAGAAGAGGTGTTTTTTTTTCCCATCTGACTTTTTCTGGTACTTGTTACTAGTTTACATGCAATGAGGAAAAAAAAAGTAATTTTCTTCTTTCCCTCAGGTCTAGATTTTGTTGATCTGCTAAAAAGGGGTCGTGAGTTCTCATGTGTATAAAAGTCTTTCATTAATTAAAAAGGCCTGAAAAATGTTTTGGTAGTAAAATGTTTTAGCAAAGACTTGTGGTTTTCCACATATACAAGGACGTTTAAGTAACAAAGCTGCTATTTCTTTCTCCACCTTGGATTCTAGATCATTAGTCAGAAAAATCGCCTGTCTGAAAGTCAGGAAAAAGCTGTAAATCTGAAGAAGGATTTGGCAGAGATGCAAGAATGGATGACTCAAGCTGAAGAAGAATATTTGGAGAAAGATTTTGAATACAAGTCCCCTGAAGAGCTAGAGAATGCTGTGAAGGAAATGAAGGTCAGGAATACCGGGTCATTGTAGAGATCTGATTAAAGAGAAACAAAACTTAATGGCTTTGGGGGCTGACCTTTTGTGGAATTATTACCTATGTGGAAAGGAGCTCAGATCATGACATTAGTGTGGTATTTTTCAACTTCGCTTTGTGGAATTTTTGCTTTTAAAGCACAAACTATAGAAGCAGATGTTCTGTTTGACCACAAAGTGATTTCATAATGAATAACAGCTTGCCCAGCTGTTGAGCCAGGCTTCCTGTGTATAGCGTATTAAACAGTAAGAATATGGAAACTTATTGCAGGAGATGAAACTTCAGAAAGAAAGAAAAGGTGATATTATACCTGTCTAAATTAGTGGTTGTAAAAACATATTCTTCTGATTCTAGCTGTTGGGCTTCAGTTTCTTGTCCCCTAGATACAGTAAGTCCACATTTAGAAAAGCAGTTTAAAATGGTTCTGTCGTAAGGCTATCTTGCGTTCCTCATCTATTGCAAACAGTGACGCTGTTCTGTCTCTTCTCTAATTTTGGGACTAGTGGCTAAAAAAATGAAAAGGAAGGAGATATTTTTTATTTTCTTGGATGTATGTGCAGAGTAAACAATCAATGTCTCTGCCTTTAAATCTGAGTTCAGGAGTATCTTCACAAATGTTTTGACTTGTATGCATGTTATTTAAATGAGTATCCACTATGCTGTTACTTGATGGAGCATTAAATAATTTTTCCCCCTTACAAATGCTTTGACAAATCTATTTAAAGTTTGGAATTTTTCTTTTTAAAGGGGCTTTCTGATGCAGTCTTTGACAAGTGTTTTAATATATGCATGTATTTTGAAGTCATTTGAGATCAGTCTGACAGCTTGCTGAACACAAAGCAAGAAAAGAACCCTCTTTTCTTTGGCAAATCTGAGAGACTTCGAGCATATTTACTTTTGTCAAATCCAGATTGTATTCTGTACTTTTAAATTTGGCAGGTATGTCGGTGATCCAGTAAGCTTACTGTAACACTTGCATATCCTCTTTCATTTGCAGTAAGAATATTATGCTGGGACCACTTTTAGGACTGAAAGAGCACTCTATGCAAAAATGCTCCTGGTAAAATAAACAAAGTTTTTTCAAAACTTTTTTGATCTTGCCTAATTCTGCTCTCATTTGAACAGGGAGCAGAACTCCTGCTGACACTTGAAGGAGTAGATTTAAAATGAGGCTAGGTGGTTTTTGATAATCCTGCCGTAAAATAATATATTCCCCAGACTTTCTATTCTTTGCCCTTCCATTAACTTGGCATTTTTTTTTGATTGCCTTACATTTAGAAGACATTTTGAACAATATATGCAACAATAATGCTGTCATGTACTATATTCTACCATAAAGTGCAGTGCCTTATATTTCAGAGGTACTTTGACTTCATAAAACTGTCCTTGAAGCCTGAAAAGAAAGAGATACGAGACAGTCCCTATTTTTAGAGCCTTCTGGTTGTCTCAACAGAGGCAGCCTCAGCATGGTCTGCGTGATCTGTCTTCCAGCAATCCTGCTTCCTGAATTGTGGTTTGGGCAAGGTTTGGCCACTGATAATACAATTTCTCCAGGCCTATGTTTTGGAAATTTTCCTGTGCTTATCCTATATATTTTTTACCAAGCTCCTCTGAGTGCAGTTGGCTTGAAGGAATTCTTCTGGCTGTCCTTTTTGCATGTTCCCCTAACGTACCCAACAGCTGTGGGAGAGGTCCCAACTTTGTAGTTGCGCGTGTCCTGGCTAATTATGTCATCTTTCCAGATAACTTCGGGAGATAACTACTGAGCTCTGAGACTCAACTTCTGTAAATTCACCCTACCTTTTTCTACCCTATATGTTTGTTTTTAGTAAGCCTCTATTTATTTTTTTTCTGGTTCATTTCTCTTTTTCTTGCTAGTGTATACATAGTGCTGAACTTAAAAATCCATGACTCAAAACAAAAATTAATGAACAAACCATAAATCGTAGATATGTCTGTATTTTTAATAAAATAGTATTTTTCAACATTTACTAACATAATCTGAATTCCTTGCAAGGTGTAGTGCCCTATTTTTTTTTTGGTGCTCAGACCCAGGAATACTTTGGCAGCAACATTTCCAAGGTTAAACTGCTGATTATGATTAGAGTGGTGAATAGCTGACTGTATGGCAGTGAGGGCTTATTGTGTAATACATTTCTTTGGGCAGAGAGCGAAGGAGGATGTGTTGCAGAAAGAGGTGCGGGTGAAGATTCTCAAAGACAACATCAAGATGTTGGCTGCCAAAGTGCTATCTAGCGGTCAGGACCTGGCAACTGAGCTGAATGTTGTGCTGGAGAACTACCAGTTACTATGCAATCGGATCAGGGGGAAATGCCACACTTTGGAGGTAAGAGTGATAGCTCTCAGCTTAGTAAAATGGAGGCAGGTGGCACGAGGTATGGAGAAAGACACTGAGAATGTCCAATTTTTTCACTGAAGCCAGTAGCTTCATCATGAACGTATTTTGCCATGGCTCCTTTCAAGATTACTTTCCCTTGAGATTACATCTTTGGAATCCATGAGACACCATCTAACTTTGCTTTTACAATCTGTCTTGTAATCAACACTTGTGCAAATAGGTAACCTTGTCTCACAGCTCTCTTGTCCATCCAAAATGACAAAAACTTCTCAGAAATTAAAGGCTGAAATACGATGGTTAGAACATAGAATCATAGAACGGTTGGGTTTGGAACAGACCTTAAAGATAATCTAGTTCCAACCCCCCTGCTATGACGAGGGATGCCTCCACTAGCCCAGGTTGCTCAAAGCCTCATCCAGCCTGGCCTTGAACCCCTCCAGGGATGGGGCATCCACAGCTTCCCTGGGAACATGTTTGATTATATTTTGGGGTAGGTTGTGTATGTCCTGTCTTTCAAGAGGAGTGGATGCGTTTTGTTACATTCTTAAGTTGCTATAAGAATCTGGATGTCAATGATAATTTTTGCATGAGTTTAGAGACTTCTCTGTCTATTTTGCATATTTCTTTTTATCTTTCTGCTGTAGTCACAGATTTTTCTGTCTAGGACTTACTGTGCGATGGTGTGTGTTTGAATATTTTCTACTTGCCTGTTTTGGGTGAATGTTTCGTAAACATAATTTCTTTAATCTGCTCATACGGTATATGAGCTATACCTGGCATTCTAGCCTAATTTATGTTTTTTCTGTTGCTCCTAGGAGGTGTGGTCCTGTTGGATTGAGCTACTTCAGTATCTTGATTTAGAAACGGCTTGGCTAAACAATCTAGAAGAAAGGGTGCAAATGACAGAAAATCTGCCTGATAAGTTAGATGCTGTCAATGATGCTCTTGAGGTATTGTAGTCATTGTATTGGATTGTTAACTTTTTAGATGGCTCTGTTTAAAAGAAAAGTTCTACACTTCATCAGAATACTTAAATATGTGTTGATTATTTTGATTCTTCAGGTTAAATTATTGTATTGCTCTAAATCTGGAATGGATATTTGTAAGATCCTCTACCAAAAGCTGAATTTTGCTTGATGATTGTGCTGTACTTTATACCATGTTAAAATTGTGTGCTCTTTCCTGTCCTGTGTAAATTGATTAATTCCTTCCAGCACTATAGTATGAAATTATATGGATAGGGGAGAAGTGCTGTGAAGCTTAATTATCTAAAGCAAAATGACCACTATATTTGCCTTGTGCCATCATGGATTAAGCCATAACTAATTCATGCTTTTAGAGCACTCAAGACATTTGAAGTGTAAAATTTCTGTGCATGCAGCCAGATTTTCAGTTCTGAAAAAGAAGTAATGTTCGGTGGTTTGACCTTTAAAACTTTCTCTGCTACTTAGTCCCTGGAATCAGTCCTGCGTCATCCAGCTGATAATCGTACCCAGATTCGGGAACTTGGGCAGACACTGATTGATGGAGGGATTCTTGATGATATCATCAGTGAAAAATTGGAGGCTTTCAATGCCCGCTATGAGGAATTGAGTCATTTGGTAAGAATTTGGGGGCATGGTTGAAGTAGCCTGGGTTTTTCGGCTCAGTGGTCTGAAGTGATTCCTGTTAGATAGCTGAATTCATAGATGCAGGACTGCAATATAGGAAAAGAGGAAAAACCTTCATAATGTTGTGAGCTGTTTTCAATTTTGAATAATGCCTTAGGAGCATGCTTTTTTTTTCCTAACTTGAGTCAGGTTTTGTTTTGTGCACTTGCACACCCTTGCACAGCATGGGCCCCCTGGCATTTTTCCAGGTAATTTTGACAAAAAGGTAATTCCAATCTCAAGGGGGACAGTTCAATAACTGAGATTAATATTCCCTTCCTACTGCCCTAAATACAGGTGAGCTGCTCACTAACTGTAAAAATGAGGAAATGAATAAATGACAATGTTCACTTTTTGAAATAGCTAGGAAGAAGTCACACTGAAGTAAGGAACGGAAGGAAAACATTCTTCTCGTTCCCTGTCTATCTGTGATCCAGAAGGATCACAGGTCAGAGAAAGCACCAGAAGAGCAGCACAAATCAACTCCAGCCAGTAAGTCACCTCCTTGAGGGCCCAATTTAAGTGCCTCTGTACAAACACACATATTATGGGGAGTAAACAAGAGAAGTTAGATGTGTGTGTGTGCCTGCAGGGCTATGATCTTATTGGCATCATGGAGATGTAGTGGGATGGCTCCTAAGGCTGGAATGTAGCATACAGGCTCTTGAGGAAGGATAGACAGGGAAGATCATAGAATCATAGAATGACCCG